AACGGCAAGTCGCAATAAGAGTTATCTGAAACCAGCTGCTACAAGAACTGTCAAGGCAAAGAAAGCAATAACAGCAGTCGGTCCAAGAATTTTCAACAGCCTACCAGATGAAATTAAAGCAAGCTATCACTTTCCAGGATTCAAATATGCTATCAGGTCACATCTCCAACAAGAAAACATGATGAAGCTGTGCTTTAATGGTGAAATTTTATGTAAATACATATAAATAAGCTGAAATGAGAATTAAAGTTTTAGTCAAAACATCTGGTGTAAAAAAGCGGAACTTGTACAAATCTAGAACTACTTATCCTGACTGAAGAGTATCATCCTAATGTCCATCAAACAAAAGAAAACTTTTTTCTCCAATTATGTGCTCGATAAACGCTAATTTACTTAACTTTCACTAAAAATGATAATTTTCCACTGTGATATTTACAAACAGACTGAGATGACAGATTCTTAATATTCAAATACAGAGAGGATGTAATGAAAGCGGTTATTCTCTATGTAGAACTATTAGATCAATTATTTTTTTCAAACCTAGAGTAACTGTTACTAATTAGAGCTTTTTTTTATAATTGTTTTGATAAGAGATTTCTTAAAGGCAACTTGTTGCACTGAAACTCTTCTTACTTAAGCTGTTGCAAGAGAATATGTATAATTAACTTAAAGTTCTCATTGTATATGACATATTTATGTATATTTCTCCGTTGCTCGAAAAAGGTTTTTTATGCCTTCTTAAATAATTTAAGTAATATTTAAGGGGGCTTTTTCCTTTTGTAAGAGTGAAAGCAAACATAATAATAAATAATAATAATAATAATAATAATAAGAATGAGTTAATGTAGAAAAATGGATGCTTCTTCTTAAAATGCTCTTTTCATTTTGCATTAGAAATGTCAGTGTACTTCAACGTTGAATTATTGCTTTTACGTTCCAATGTTAACAGATATTGTTCTCCATTTAAAGATGTAGAAAATTTCCCACAATTTTTTTTTCATTGATTTTTATTCTTTTTATTTTTTATGCCACAGACTTTAAGAATGTTGTACATTATCTATTCAGACATATTGATAGGAGAAGAGAAGAAAAAATATTCAATAATCAGCATAAAAACACATTAGGACGCCTTCCCGAGCGGCACAAGGTGGAGGGTGGTCTCCATATGGAATCCATATGAAAGCCACCTCCACTATGTGGAAAGTAAATGGAGGGTTATTTTTTCATCCTTCATATTGATTCCATTTGGATTCCATATGAACTCCGCTTTTTCTTAAATCAAATACCGAAAAACTCGTGCTTTTGAATTTTTAAAAGACAAAGGTCAGATCTTACTGTAATGGATTGAAATATTGTCGAAAAGCTTTACTGAATCATATTGCTTCATTTCAAGCTTTAAAAAAGCAAAAAAGGATAATTTTTTGTGATTTTGTATGAAATTACATACTTCACAAGCGCATGCAGAAATCACTATTATATGGGGTCGTTTAATTTGTATGAAATTTTTTAATAATTTCTTATGTTTCTCACGCGTGTGATCGAGACTTAGAAATTGCTGTGGTTGCGACTTAATTAAATTAAGTTGTAAATTTTTCAATGGTGTTAGTGTACTTTAATTAAGTCCACTAATACAGCTACAAATCTTGATATAAAAATTGCAAAACATAGAAAAACACGTGGAAAATCGTACCAAAAATCCTTTGAAAAATACTTCCATTAAACCTCCGTTTGACTACCACAAATGGATCCTCCATCCTCCATCAAAACCTCTCAAATGACTTCCATTTCACAATGATTCAGATTCGGAAAAAATGTTCAAAAATTCCTTGTGCACAATATTTTTCCAACACATTAGAAAATTGAAAGTTTTTGTTAATTTCTCTTGATTTGAATCTTTTAGCATCATCTACATAATGTTTTCGTTCATTGCTCAAAAAATTAGTCCCTAATATAAAGGATAAACATGATTTTTTACCAAAAGTTTGTAAAAGTTTATCAAAAAATATTGTGCATGATCAAATTTTGTATGAAAATTTATGTAAACTTTGATCGCAAATATCTCGAAAACGGCATCAAACGGCATGTCCTCAGTAATATGGGAGATAGATTTTAACTTAATTAATGGATTTATATAGGTTTCAGAGAGGTCTTTGGAAGACTTTTTAACTTATGAATAGTTTAAGTAGTGTAAAAATACTCAGATTTCAATTCCATTTTTAAGGCTTAATACGCAGATTTCTATTGAGTTGGTTGTTTTAGTATGTAAAGCTAAGCTTAAATTAGCTAGTAACTGCTTCCAAGACATCCAAATAACAACTTAAAGTAGAAAAAATCATATTTTTTTTTTCATACACAAATTGTAAACAAATTTTGGGTGAGATTAAATTAATGATTTCTGGAGTTAGACATCAAATTGGGACGAGATATTTTCATAGGATATGCCTCAAGTTAAGATCTTTAATCTTTCGATTCTGAATCATTGTGCATTTGGTGTTAATAAATGCACGTCCCACGGAAGATTTTCGGAGCTTTGGCTCCGTCAAGGTTCCAAGATAGTAATGTTTTCGGAAGATTTTCAAATGGAGGGTGGAACATGGAGGCTCCGTATAGCTTCCATATGGAAGGCAAATGGAGCCTTTGTGCCGCTCGGGCTTCTCTCCTATCGGGAGTTCTTCAATATTTTAATAAAAATGAAATTTATGGGGCTTTTCGTTCACATCATGCCGTACGTCTTTTAAAGAGTTGGAATTTTATAGACGTTAGGTGACTGACTGATTGACTTTAGATTATTGATGGTTTTTGTGGTAAGAAAATTGTGTGATTAAATGATGTTTAGAAACCATAATGGGTAATTAGTGTGATATGATTGACATTTAATTAGCTTCTACTAATTCATTAAAAAGCCTTGAATTACCACAAGAACTTTAATAATCATTATCGACATGAACTTATGAAGTTTTTAAGGTTACATAGTTTCAATGTGAGTAGTTCGATGACTTTTGCAAAATCATTGCCTTTCTAAAGCGTTGACTCGCAAACGCAGCAAGAAACAGTGTCTGGAGTATGTCTAAGCTTATTGTATAAATAAAGTAATCTCCAGAGGACTTTGAGGCCTCCTTTAGGGGTATGGTTTATGTGATACTCCTTCTCATCATTTTCTTACCCAAGTTGATTTTAAAACCACGTGGACAGTGCCTTTTTTGACTGTGTACATAATTTCAATTCTAGTGTGTCACTAAAATATTCCTCGGTAGTATAATGGTGAGTACATTGACTTACCAAAGCTCCCATCTCAATCTATATTGATAACATCGCTTCTATGATCGATTCCTTAAAACATCTTTCAACTTACAAACCTTTAACACACAAAAAGCATCCATTTATTTATTGCAATGCAAAATGGGGATAATAAAATTTGTTCGTTTCTTTTGTTTCCTATATGCTAGCTACTATTCCGTTTAAATAAAAGTTCAAGTCATTTTTTGTGGGCCTCCTTTCCATTAAGGATGTTGTGGAATATGCGGTATGTAAATTTTTTGTTCTGATAAAGGATAGCAACATCTATCCATTAATCTTCTTTGTTTGAGCATTTTTAAAATCAAATTCTGTCGATTCACATTGTCCAAAATAAGCTATTGTTTTCCACAGCTCGTTAATTCACCAACAAATCTTAATTTTCACGAAAAGTATTCATAAATAGTAAATCCACTCATAAATCATTTGTCACTAAAATGCGTTCCGCTCATCCATCTCTCCATGATTTATCTACCCGTTGTTCTTTCTGGCTTCATACTAGAAGCATTTGCTATCTCTTATCTCATCTAGTCTCAATCACAATACATTGCGTCATTATAACATTTCCATTTTCATGAGATAAATTCCCTCACTCTGTTCTGTTCTGTTTTCTCGTCTGTTTCCACACAGAAACGATGATAATGCTCTCGAACAAGATTCTTTTGGTTATAATCAGATTTTTTTTTTCTCTTTCGTTCGGCATCTTCCTCTTTTTATTTTTGTCTCTAATTCAATAAAAGTTATTTCGTTGTTTTTGAAAAGATTTGTTAGGAAAGACATTTATTTGCTATAAATTTCTGTGAACTCGTGTGTGTGTGCTGCTCTCGAGTGCCTGTTATTTTTTTGGGGGGTAGAAAATAAATTTTTAACGACTGCAACATTGTGTATGAAATAAGCTTTAAAAATGTGGGTTGAAGGATGTTTTCCTACCTAAAAATGCTGTAAGAAGAAAAAGTTATTTTTGAATATTTTTATAGCTTGTGTATAATACAACCTACAAGTAATATAAATTTTAAGTATTTTAGGTGTAATCTGAGCTTTTGGGACACAAGAGATTTCTCTTTCGTTAGAAGCGATTTGTTTGAACTTTTGCGACCTTTAAAGTTGGTTGTATTTAACTTTTTGAGTAGTTTTTTTGAAATTCGAAAATGTTGACTTGTTGAAAAATTTAAAAAAAGCATTTTAAAGCTAATTTTGTTTATCTTGAGGTTTAGATTCGCATTGTCTTTGAAAATATGTGTTGATTTCAGATTTTTCAGATCTAGACATTTTATCTATGACAACGCTTACTCTAAAGAAACGACAAAAAGATCTATGAGAAGGAAAAGCTTTAAAAACTAACCTTAAAACCGTTGTAGTAAATACCATACGTTCTCAGAATATGTCCAGACCGAGACAGTAGCTGTGTCAGTTAACTTGAGTCTAACCTGCGACAAATAGCTTGTTACTCAGACAATTTATGTGATTTTTTTGAATTTATGATCATTGACATGTTGAACGCATATTGCGACTTTTACATTTGGTTCTATTTATAATGTTTATATATTGATGGCCCAATACTGCATGCTTACGTGAACAAAATGACATGAATTTATTAAACTTACATACTTATTGATACTTTACCTTTTTATTGGAACTAAAAATAAAGACCAAATTTTTCGATCGTGATAATTTTAAAAAAATAAAAAATCTCTCGTAATTTTTTTCCATAAGATTTTTCTCTTTTTTATTTTTAGAAATAATATAATAATGATAATAATGATTGAGACACATACACAGAATATATTCTGACATAAAATCTAATTTTAAACTTTCATACTTTCATCATTGTTTCTTGTCTCTATTTAATATATTTTATTAAATACTATATCTTTTTCATCTTAACTATTCCTTGATTGGAACATAAAACATTACTCGTGCAGCGTACAATAAGCGACAAAATAATACAATAAAAAATATATAAGAAGAAAGTTTAATACCCAAGGGGGTGGGAAATTCTTTCAATTGATTCTACTAATTTTTTTAATTTAAGGGATTTTCTTATTGATGAAATTGCCTTTGATTTAAGGTGGGAAGAACTTCTAGCATTTATAAATTGGAAGATTTGGTATTTTAAGGGGTGGCCACTGCTCAAAGTGCGCAAAACTTTCATTTTATCACTTTCAATCAACCACAATTTCACTTCATTGTATGCATTGTAGTTTTAACCTCGCAATCATTCGGGATTCTTTTTAAAAAAATAATTCAATTTCTACCCCTTTGGACTGACAAAGCAATTCGAAATATTTTTGCTTTCATTTTTCCTCTTACAATAAAAAAATAGTAGATTTGATGAAGCAAGATTGCTACTGCTAGCTATATGCATTTTATATAAAGAGAAACATAATTGATTTTATGTTTATTTCTCTATCGTTTGGATTGTTTCTCTATTGCGTTCTTTTTTCAGGTTTAGACTATCATTTTATATAGAATATATCTGTCCCATACCCGAAACACCTATCAATCCATCATTTGGATTCTAAAGTTAAGAAGTGTACCAGCGTAGAAAGGATTGGTTCGTTATCTTCCATTTAGTTCTGCGCCTGTTTCTAGGTTAAAGTTCTAGAGCAGTATTATCCAAACTTTAAGAGCCACGGCACACTTTAGGTGTAGGCAATGACGAAGTCTCACACAACATGCGGTTCGTGTTATTTCCAAACAATTTCTACGGCACACCAGTGTACTGCGGCACACAGTTAAGACAATACTGTTCTAGAGAGTCAATAGTATTTGGATTCTAGTTATAAGTACAATTTCTACACATTGAATCTATTTAAAAAATAAGTTTTGTGGATATTTGAAGCTTCAAGAGACGAAAAATGTCCTCTGAAGAACAAACATTCGTCCAACATAACAAAAACTCCAATAAAATATTAAAACAAAAATATTCACAACATAGTCAACCATCAAGGAATCAATGTCTAAACCTTTCAGACACTTTATCAGACTTCCTCTTTGTGTTGTTCACTGGAAAAATCAAGAAAATATTTTATTAATTATTATTTTTATTCAATATTTATTCTATGGAGTAGATAAAAGCAGGATAAAGAAACTTTAAGCTACTGCCCTTTAATATTCTCAGCAATTTTAGTTGCCATTATTCTTTAACTTTGGACGAATTGTTTTAAAAAAATACAACAAATAATTCTCTACCAATTTTATCTTACATTGTTTAAAAAAATATATAATTTTTTTCGTGATTTTTTTATTTTTTATAAAAGTTGTACATGCACAATAACACAACAACAATAATAAAGATGAGAAAGAATATTTAGGATAAATCTTCATTATTTACATTCCCATAGAGGCAAAAAAAAAATATAAAAGTAAAAAGCTCAGCAGTTACTGAAAAAAAAAAATTGTCGAAAGTACTCTCGTGAGAGATGCAAAGAAGAAGAAGAATGAGAATCAAAAAATTTGTAGAGCAAAATTTCATAAAAAATTAAATATTTTTGTGATAAGTTTTGTTGTTTTTACGGGGGTGGATGGCTTTGGACAGCTTGTTGATGCGAAGGCGGAGACACTGAAGGATATTTTTGTAATAATCTTGAATTTTGGTAATGGAATTGACTAAGTTTCGGTGAATCTTTAACAACTTTGTTTGATTTCTGGTTTAATGGTTGTTTTTAGACTTGATTTAAGGTTTTGTGGTATTTTTATTTGCTTAGAATTTTGAGTAGTTATGCTGAATTTGTTGGCTTTCCTGTAATAGATGCAAGACTTTATACTGATAGAGGATTAAGGTTAGAACTCAAATGTCTCAAACTTCTGGAAAAACCAAACAAAAATCAATTCGCAAATGAATTTAAAGTCAAGTCAAGTGAAGCTTTCAGACATACTTCCTAACCTCAAAACATATTCTTCCTAAAAATACTAGCTACCGGTATAAAAACATCATGTTCTTCTTGAGGATTTTCCTATTATTTTTATATCTCTTGTTTGTGTATATTTTTAGATATCTCTTCAAATTATGTCGAATAAAGCTTTATTTGTTGTCTAAGGTTTTTTTTATTCTTATGTAAGGCACTTAAAAGTGGGATTCATAATAATCATGTTCATTCTCAAAATTCGATTTAAAGACTAGCAAATATGTACACAGTGAGAGAGATGAAGAAATCTTTAATCGAGAGGATTTAGACAGCACTTCATTCAAATAATCGCTTTTACTTATTGAAGATGCTTTTTTTTTGGGATACAAAAAAAAATAAATTGAGAAATTTTCTTTTACGATCACTCAGAATATAAAGAAATGTAGAGATGCTGTAATTCTCATATCAACTGTCGATAGTTATAATTTATTGTCATTGATTCACATAAAAAATGTTATTTCTCATTCCTTATTTTATTTTCGATAGCTAGCAGAATGAAAATGTGCATTTTTCATGATAAATGCTTTGTATGATAATATCGATGACTGTGTGCTCAAATAAAAAGCAGAATTCTGTTCGGCAGACAACACAAACATAGGGAGTCGTTCATAAATGATGTTCAATTTTTATGAAGGGGGTTTAAAAGCTCCAAACTATAGTTTCTGATGGACATCATTTAGGAATGAACCCACATCATGATGACACAAGAAAAAAAAATAAAAGATATCGAAAGTATCATTACTCTCAATAAAGCTCGATTGTTGACGAAAGTTTGTTGCAATAATAAAAAAAATATATTTGAATGTCCAATACGTTTGGAAGCTTTTTGCATAAAATTACATAACAACTGCAGGATTAAGTGTCATTCTTACAGATTATCAATAGCTTTATCCTTGCCAAAACTTCTTTGATTACAAAATTAATTTCTATACGTTATGTCCTGCTGATTCTTCCGCTTTATCCACTCCCACTGCCGTTTAATCAATAATTCATCTACTCATTCCATCTTTATCCCCTAAATCTTCAGTTCCTTTTCTTCTTTTCCGACTACAATTTTTTTTGCCACTCTCACGATGAACAACTAACAAAAAAGCTACACACTAAAAGCATAAAAAGAAATCATGTCAATCACACGCACGAAAACTTGATTCCTTCCTCGTTTGAAAAGCAGTTAGAGCAATGGAGCCGTGAATTTCTCACTCGAACATCAGTTCCGTGAATATTTCCATCAGCTATTTGCGTCTGACACACAGTACATTTAAAGCAATCGATATGATAGAAAAGTCCTAAGTTTTCTATAATCATCGCTGCTCCACTGCCAAGTTCTCGATTACAATATGAGCAAATCTTTTTACTAGACACACTCAAAACATCCAATTGCGGAAGCATTGGTACCTGCGGTGATTGCGGTGTGATTTGTTGATGGTGGTGCTGTTGTTGTTGCAAAGGATTATGCATGATTATTTGACCAGAATTTGGCATAGGACTTATATTGGTTGCAGGCTGTTGTTGTTGTTGTTGTGACATCATAAGTAATTGTGGAGCGTGTGATGGCGTTTGAGTGATTTGCGGCATCTGTTTCGAATCGAATACCGTATATCTGTAATGGGACATAAAAAATAGTATAAAAGATGTGAAAATCGTGTTTGATATATAAAAAAATGTTAGAAAATTTATGTGGATATGATCTACAGTAGGAATTGTTGTTGATTAGGGCGCATTCTTTATTTTGGTTGATTTTGGATGTTATTAACGGATATTAACATTAGCTGAATTCAGCAACATATTGCTCAGTTGAGCTGAATAGTGCTTAATTCAGCTAAGCTTAGTATTGTTGAATTCAGCAAAGCTGAATAATGCTGAATTTAGCTTAATTGATCAACTCTGAACACAAGAAATCAAAAATTAACTGTACTGGATCATTCAACTGAGTAAAATTAAGCCAAAACCCCAAAAGCAACTTTTTGCAAGTCACACAGCCAAAATAACGAATCAATTCACATTCTCATACCCAAAATACACATAAAATTTCATTTCATGTTACAATTGATGACTTTTGGAAGTAAGCTACGAGAATAAAATGAGTGTATAAGTTGATGGTGATTGGATCAGATCAATAATCGATGTTAGATAGTTTTTATGTTCCAGCAACGAAAAAAAATATAATAAAATTTCATTAATCATGTTACACACATATAAATCGATAATGTCTTAGTTTTTTTTTTGTCTGAAGATGAATTGTGTCGATATATTCTCCTTCCTTCCTCTTTGTCTACATCATTCTTTCTCTTTATTCTTGATAGGCTTTCAATTTCTGCTCTACTGGATCTTCTTATGCTTTTCAACACACTCCTTCCCCATCTATGTTGAACATTCATTTACAGTGTCTTATAAAGGATGTTCGACATGATTTTTTCGGACAACTATCATCCCTTTCTTCAATATAAAAAGCCTTCTTACCATACATGGCAATCTTATACACATACGAATGAGGAAGAATAAAGAGCAGCATCACAAAGAAGGAAACAAAATGTACCGAAAATAATATCCCACATCCTTATTGCTAATTTCATGAAAAATGGACATTAAGTATAACAAATTTTCTCTCTCTTTTCATTTTTTCGGATCATAAAAACCATTATTATAATGACGAATGAAATTGAGGGACTAAATACTTTATGATAAGGTAATGGAAGTTAAGTATTGAAAGAAAATATTTCAATTGTCATCAATATCAATTTTCCTGCTGAATATTTAAATCGCAAGCATATATTCATGACATAAATTCACAATATCTTTCTTATTCCACCAGCTATTCATTGTGAAAAAGGATCAAGTGCTTGTATTATGTCGGATTATACTTGAGCTTATGTAGAATTTTTTCGGATGAGCTAGTTCGGAGGAATTAGTCACATTTAAGCGATAAATTTGTACGATTTTGGTATTTGTTAGACAATTGGATGGATTTTAATGAAATGGATGGATTAAGGATTAGTCAAAACAAATGAAGGATATAAAGCTGTGGATGCGACATTGAGTTAACAGATTTACTCATATGATTAAAGGTTTTCTTGTGTTTGAAGGATTCTTGATAATTTACTGCAGCTTTTAGCTAATTCTACTCGTTCATAATCCTTGTCAAAAAAAAAAAGCCTTCAATGCATCTTACATAAAAAAGGTAGAATCTGGCTATGTTCCATAAAATGCGCCCTACTCAGCCACATTCAATCCTCTTACCTTTTATTCACATTCGTTCCAATTCCCAAGTCGACAACACGTTGCGTTATTGTTTGAATAATAGACTCTGGAAGTGGCTTTTTACTGCTACAGATGCCTGAATTTGATCGTACATTGTTCAGTTGCTCAATTCTACGTTGCTCTGCCTCTTGAATAAGCCAATGTGAATTAAGTGATGGCTTTACAGGCTCCGATTTTCGATATTGAACCCAATCATTTGTTAATTTTGGTTTTGGAACGGCACTTATTTGCATTAATGCATGTCGTGTCATATTGCCGTAAATATTATTGTTGCTATTGCTATTATTATTACTACTACTATTGCTACTATTATTTGAAATGTTATTTAAACTATTTCTATGCAACTGTTGTTGCTGCTGTTGTTGGTCAGATGATGATGACGATGATGATGCTGGCGCTTGATATGGCTTTGGTGCATGCAAATGCATTTCTGATCGACTTGATGTCGTTGCCATATTACCATAATGAAATGCTGATGGTTGTGATGCTGAACTATTATACAATGATTGATGATACTCTAAATCGTTCATATTTTGATTGGAATTCCATGTTGCGGCATTAAACTCCTGCAAATTAGGCATAGATTTTCGATATTCATTTATATGATTATGTTGATGTGTATGAGAGTTGTGAATGTGACGATATGACACATTATTATTGCTACTATTATTGCTATTATTTTCATAATGTGAACTTCCATTTGTCATAATATTGGAAGCATCTAAATCCTGTAGGGACGAGCTGGTCGGGTTAGTAGCAATAAGCATTTTCACGCCTTCGTCGAGCTCTCGACGCGCAAGATTTTTTCGCATTATTAAATTCTCACGTTGACGTTTCAACTCCTGCTGTTCAATTTGAAGAAGTAATTGCTCGACACGTAGCACTTCCTGGAATATTATTTTTTTGTTCACACAAGAAAACGACACAAAAAAAAGAAAGAAAAAAAGCGTGATTTTATGTGCAAAATAAAACTTAATAACAAAAAAATAAGGAACAAAAAAAAAACTTTTTACATCAAACATAAAAAACAAAAAATCAAACAGAAAATTGCAAAAGGAAGGAAATATGCTGGAGATCAACATGCCATGAGGTTTCTTGAAACAACATTTATGCCATTAATTTATTTTCCTTGCTTCACTCGAGATGCTCTTTTAAGACTTTTAAGACATTTTTTGTAGACCATCGGAGAGAAAAATAAAACTTTTTCAATTTTTACGGAAGTCCTTGAAGTGAAGCTTACTGTACCCAAACATTTTATTCAAAAAAAAAGTTTTATTTTTGTGATGACATGGGCTTGATGAAGATATAAGTTATAGAAATGTTGAAATTTTTATCTGACGATGCTAAAATATATTTAATGACCTGCTGCTTAGAATAAGTTGCTACAAGCTATGAAATGAGCTATAACTACTGCAATAAAATGCTATCAATACTTTTGAATTTATTGTAGTACGCCCTGAAGTAAGCAGTTTATGGAATTTATTGGTGTGGATAAATCAAAGTGCTTTGAAGACTCATTTAAGAGTTTTATTATTGGACTTTGGTTGTTAAGAGCTTTAACTTATAGAAAATAATGATGTAGCAAAGGTATAAGCCAGTTCTTAAATTTAGAATGCTTTTAAATGAAGCGTTGCATGTAAAAAATAAAGATTTGCTTTAGAATTTAGACTAGAAATATAAAGTGCTTATACTGACGCTCAGCTTTGCTAATGTTCAGCCATACTGACGCTCAGCTTGACTAATGTTCAGCCACACTAAAGCTCAGATTGACATTTGCTCAGTCACACTGACGCTCAGCTTTACTAATCTTTAATAACACTGGCGCTTAGCTTTACTAATGAAAATTTTGTGCTAGAGTTAAAAGAAAACCCAAAAGTCTCAATTTATCTTCAAATTCCTTTTCTTACGTCTCCTAAAGTATTGTTGACATTAGAAATTCTGCAATCAAATCCCACACTTCTAAAGAACTCAAAAAACTATCGTATGAAAAACTTTTCAGCTTTAAACTTTGACATTTTACTATAAAACCCAAAGAATCTCTTAATGGAATGTTTATTTTTGTACAAAATCCTTTTTGTTCACAAATCTCAAGATTCAAACAACTTCCAAGAAAATCTAAACGAATATTCTGTTGAATATCCATCTTCAGTTCTTTCATCGACAATTTTACCTTCCGAAAATAAAAGGAAGCAACAAAAAAAATCTCGAAGAACATTTTTCAACAAGCACTTTCTAATATAATTTTATTCCACTTTATAACATCTTTATGCTACGAGTATCAACACACTGAAAAAAAGGGGAAATTTTGAATGATTTGACAAAATGAAATTCCAAGAAACTTCATCGCATGACGAAAGAAATATAAAATAAAATAAAAAGGATTCACCCGACACCATTTATGGCATGTTTCAAATAAAAAGGTGACATTATACAAATGATGTGTGATAAGGAACAGATATAAAGCAACAAAAGAGGAAAAAAAAGATTTTTTTTTTCATGCTTGATGACAAAAAGAACAGAAAAGTTTAAGCACACGATGAAGAAGGGAAGCGATTTTCATTGAACAAATTTCAAGCTAAACATAGTTGAGGAAACTTTCTTTTATGTCATGTGATGGATAAAATTTCTATTTGATGATATGGATTGGGATATTTTGAGGAGAGTTTCAAAAGATCTCTGGATATTTTTGTTTAGGAATCAATAGGATCTGTGTACACATTTTAAGACTAAATAGCATTCAGGATAGCAAGTTCTTTACTTTGTACGTCCCAAATCTTAAGAGGTGGATTTAAAAACTATAAACTACGTAAGAATCGTCCAATCTTACAGCCATCATATCCAGAAATATAGAAATTCCATTGCATAATGCCTTAATAACTTTATAATACTAAAAAAATTATGTGCATAACTCTTGAAATGTCTATATACAAAAGAAAGGAAGAGAATGTCAGTTATTTTTCACTTTAATCCAGATAAACTAGCAATATATGTACATATAAAACTCAAATATAATATGAATGTTTTCAGCTAGTCGAATGTGAATGAGAAGGAAGAAAAATACAAGAGAAAAAAAAGGAAAAATTTGCAATGGAATCGAGGCATGAAGGGATTAAAAGAAGAAGAAAACTTTTTCATTCTGTCGCTATAAGAACGATAGAATCAAATCAGGAAGAAAGAACGTGCTTTCTTATGCTGTACGTATCTTTTCTTCGAGCATCATCAAAAGAGTGTTAAGAAATAAAGTTCTTCATGACATCACTGACTAATAAATATACATTTTAAGTTTTAAAAAGTACAATAGATGAACTTTTTCCGTCATTTTAAAGAAGAAAACTTTCTCATTTAAGCTTGAATGTTCAATGTAAAAAGAGTTTATTTTATAAGAATCATGCAACGAGCATCATAACGCCATCACCAAATGTATTAATGGAGAGGAATTAGAGCGGAACGGAATCAAGTCGCAATATTTTTAATTTTTCTAAATTCTAAATTGAGTTTTTTACTGCTTTTAAATAAGCTTAAGGAGGAAAGTTTAATGAGAAAAGTTTTAAAGACTTAAAAATTATTTTTTGAAAAATCCTTGCAAGTTGAAACAAATTTGTTGCTGTAAATCATGAAAATTTGTCTGCAAATCCTCTAAAAGTCCCTAACATATGAAATAAATCCACTTAAAAGCTGCAGACACATAAAAAAGCTTTCCACAAAGCCAAAACTCAATTTAAATTAAAATATTCTGACATTTTTATTCCACACTAATTCCATCATCCATCACCCGTCAACCATGCAATATTATTATTAAGGAGACTACAATTTAGTCATGCAAAAGTCAAAAAAAAATTATTAAACACGAAATGCTTTTTAATAATATTAATACCTGATGGTCATCATCGAACGAATCGTCATGTTGATGATGACAATAATTAGAATAAGTCTGGAAGTACACAAAATAGGAAATGGAGAAACATATATTTTTTAATGCTTTTTAATGGATCATTGCAGCATTTCTTATGCATTTTTCATTGAGAGTTAATCGTATTTATGAAAAATACATAAAAATGAATTCAGTTAATTACAATTATTTACTTTTAATTAGAATTGAATTGGAAAGGATATGAGATCATGTTAAACTTGAGAATAAAATGTAAATTGACTGTTCAAATAAGAAGCTTATTGCTAGAGCAATAAGGCTGAACTCAAAATTAATGAAAAATTCTGAATTCTACTCAATTATAAATGCTGAATTCAGCTATCTTCAAAAGTGCTGACTTTAAAAGTGCTGAATTGAGCTGACTCTATAAACGCTGAAATTAATAGAACGAATTCAGCTAACTTCTGTCTTTAAACAATATGAGCTAAATAGCGCTGAATTCATCTCAACAGAGCTTAGTAATGTTTCAGTTAATCTAAAATCAAAATAATGCTGAATTCGGCACTGCTGAACATTACAAAATGCAGTAATGAAGTTTGTTCAAAAAAATATGAATCTTAATTCATAAATATCCTTTTACTAAACCTCTTTTTCAATAAATTAAACTCTTTTCAGCACAATTTAATTAGAAAACTCATAACTGATTCTCAAACAAAGCTTTTAAAAAGCTCATTTTAAATTTTAATTGGAATACTCCTTCTGCATGAAAATACATAATTATGCTGCAATTTTTTTTTGTTAACAAATTAATTGAAAATAACATTAATTTCCTCCAAAAATAGAATTATTAAAAAAGAATTGAATTAAAATTTCAATTTTAGTTGTTCATTTGAAATATTTTCTCGTTTAGTAAGATAATTAAAGGGTAAATTAGAGAAAAGTGAGTAAATAAGAAGTAAAAAATCATAAAGTCACGAAAATTGAAATATATTAAAAGGTAGTCAAGTTATAAAAAATCATTTCCAAATGAATAAATAAGAATTTTTCATTCCAAAAGATGAAAAATTAAATTTCCAGTAAGTAATAAATTTTTTTTTCGTAGAAGATGAAAATGATGATATTCAAATTAGTCACAAGTCGCATTAGCAGATAGCGATAAAACATTATGAGAAGGTAGTAGAGTGATAGAGATAGAGAGAGTGAATTAAAAAGAAGATAATGAGACGAGATATTATAATATTTTAAAAAAAAATTTCCATAAATAATTAGCACAGCACTCACTTCTTGTTGACTTATTTGCTCCTCAAGTGATTTTATCCTATTGTCATCCCCGTTTACTGTATAACTTGTAAAATTTCCGCGACGTTCACTAAGAAGAATTCCACTACCATCAACTTCTTCTGTATTTCCACAATTTCCTTCTGATGTTGATGACTCAGACGATGGTTCACTACCTTGTCGGGAGTGATTATCAAGTCCTGAATCACGACTTTCGCCTGATGATGAACGTGAGAACAAAAAAAAATTATCATTATAATTAAAATTATAATTTGATGTTTAATTGCTTAAGAGAAGCTTTCGCGCACAGTTATTATCATCATCATGATTATCATCATTTGTCCGCTTGTTTGACACGGTTAAGTTCATGGCTTTTAGAAGACAATGAAGCAACTTTTTTTAATAGCACAGAGCTTTGCAGATTTTAGCTTAGTTGCTGTGAAGATAATTTACAGACTAAAAGGATTACATAGAAGAAATGACTAATTCTATTAAGTGTTGTATGAATAAAAGCAGAAGGTGGGCGCACAAAGAAGACCATAATGGAGCTTCTTGATTCAATTTATGATATTCGTGATTAAGTTTGGCTGTGGAGCTTTTTCGGTTAGCAACAGAAGTCAAAATGACTTGAAAACCAGTGTACATTGGAATTGGCAATTCGAAATACCGAAGTTTGAAGCAGCAGCTCCTTGATATCAACTTTCTAGATACTTCTATTATTGAATTCAGAGAATATCAATTTAAAACAATCAACCTGGGGCCTTGAAGTTTCAATTTCATGCGCAACGCATCCAGAACACGGAACGGGAAATGTATAAAATATTCTCATTCTATTTTTGATAACGAGAAAACACAAAAGTAGATAACGATGCATAAAACGTGCCCCAATTCAACTCAAAAGCTTTTCCACCTGAAAAATAAAATATTTTACCATTGACAGCATTCTCATATAGCCCAACTTTTTGATACATCTGTTTCTCCAATCTTTTTTCTTCTTGAAAAATAGATTTAATGTTTGGCGGTGGTGCCACAGACATCTTCAATGTGTTTTCATCGTCAAACTCTTGCCCGTCAATGCCAAGAAAGCTTGATCTTTTATTTCGTATTTCCTTCTTGATTCGTTTCGTTGAATTTATTCGTTTGAAATTATCGATTTGTTCTTGACAGTCGTGACCTGACATTTCTTCTGTTTGCATTGGAATTGGCGGTGGTGGTGGTTTTTCTTTTGGTGGCATTTGATTTAAATATTTTGATTGATCAATCGGGAATATCATCTCAGTTCCATCATCAATACCAAAGCTTTCATTGCTCTCAGCCATTGAGAATCTTGAACTATCGGATGATGCAGGAAACATCAATTCAACATTCTCATACAATGGAATCGGAACGGTCTTTTTCGGCATTTCATAATATGGCTCACGAGATCTTGGCACCTGATAGTGCGGTTCCATTTCAATTTCTTCCATAATCGAATTTTTCTTTACACTTTCCATTTTTGTCATCTCATCATCGACAACATTCTCATAAATTGGCTCAATAATCGATTCCCCAATGTGATTATTATTATTATTGTCATTGCCTTTATTCATTGACAATTGACGATTTGGCATTGAATCAACATTCTCACTATCGATAAGCTCAAATGCCATATCTAAAGCTTCTTCAATACGATCATCCTAAAAATACACATAAGCATAAAAAAAATGTTGAATAGGCAGGCATATAGGCAAGACTCAGTAGATGAATTATTAATATACTCTTTTCTCCCATTATTGTTGGATGTACGTTATTGAGTTGAGAAATCAAATTACCAATATTTACATGTGTAGATAGGATAAAAGAAAGATAAATAAGAGAGCAGCAGCAACATCAGTGTGTAGATAGATAGCAGTTCTTGATGAAAAGGCATAAGAGATAATTGTTAATCTAATAATTTTAATGCTACACAAGCATATTCATATAATTTCATATAAAGACATGTAGAGATTTCTTATTCATGCGAAAATTATCAGGTTTTTCTTAATTACACTTTGGACTAATCAATTCTAATGAAATTGATGTTGTTCCGTTAGCTGTAAATCCATTTATGATACGTCTATTAATGGTAAGAATTTGAAAGGTGAACAAACAATTCAATAGATAGACAGCAACACAAAGGTTACAGTAATCGTTAAGTAAATAATTCGCGAAAATATTTAATTGTACATTCAATCAAACTTCAATTAAAATTTATGCAAACAGAATTTGAATTGTTAATTAGTTGCTAAAGAGTTCCTGGAGTTGAGAGACTTTTGGAGCCGATGGAAAGGTTTGTAGACGTTTGAACTTAGAACTTGTTGTTGGCCATACTTTTGTGTTCTATAAAATAGTGCCACTTAATAAACAGGAAACTGGTAAACATTTTCATGATATACACAGGCTACCCAGAGATAAAACAGACATTAGAGTATCATTTCTAACGATTTAAGTCGCAATTCTTTCATTACCGACAAGATTATTAAAGCATAACCAAAAAATATTCTTTAATAATTCGTTGCATGACTGCTATTAAATTTCCATAAAGAGCTTTCATCCATAAATACCTCAAACTCTTGATTTAACCAAAAATCTGCTCCATCATCCGTCTATATGAAATTATATGCATGATTATATCCATTGTTAGCCACAAGATTTTACCAGTAATGTTCTAAATTACTTTTTAGTCCATCAAACTTACCTATAACCATTTTCATTTATTAGCTGACGTAATTGTGCCAAAAAGTTATGAGTAAGTAAGCATTAGATATTAAGATTATTATTATTACGGTTACTCATTCTGTAAGACTCTGCTTCAGAAACAACGGACCAAACAGTGTAACAATATAAATATTACATAATAATAATAAGAAGAAATTTATCTTTTAATTCTACAACCCACTCAAATATCTACATATCATTCAGAGCAATCAAGTGTTATGTGCAGAAAAAGGAAAATAAGAAAAGAATAAAAAGTAAAAACAGAAACTTTCTACTATTGCTAAAAGATACGTGCTAAGGTTTATTGTTAAGCATTAATAAAATATGTTCAATAGGAGTAGCAAGAGGATTCTGGGATTTTTACGGTTCTATGACTACAGAAATGGGAGAAAAAAGGAAAGAAATCATAAAACTTCTCATTACGAAAAATTAAAACCAACACCATTCCAACTGAAAGAACTTTTTCATATATTTTTATACTTCCTTCGAGCTATATTTTTTTCTTTCTCATTCAATTTTAACATAGTCCTTTTTTAACATATTTACATACATCATAAATTTTTGCTTCTTCATATCTTTTTTTTTGTTCTTTCTCTTCACAACTACATACATTGACTAAGTTTACCCGAGCGAGACACTTGTAAATATTATATTTTGTCGTCAGGGCACTCCAACGTTTCTAAGATGTTATGCCATAACACAGTGTAATGAAGAAGAAGAGTGGAATTTGAGATATCGAGCCATATGTAAACGACTTTGCCAGTAAGAGGCCTAGGTCTTTGTGAAATCTGCAACCCTCTACATCCAAGGAACTAAAGGCTATACTCACAAAAATTACATATAATATTCAATATGACAAGGATTCGTACAATGCTTACGACATTACAGCTTAGATACGTGACAGTGCCCAGAATTCAGATTCAGCTAGCCATATTAGCTAGAATAAACCCAAAAAACCAACCCCTGACGACCAAACTGTACCGCTCGGGTTAAGTTCTCTCAAATAGAAAATTGAAAACGGAGTTTAACATTTAACCAGAGCGACATTGAACTGGAAAATTCTTGTCCTGTGAAAAATATTTCCTGCACTATTTGAGAGAACTTAAATGTAAAATAATCTAGCATGAAATACTTTTTATATATCTCGAAAAAAATTTCCAACATTTTTTTAATAAAATATTTTTTTTCTCATAAATTGCACATCTCTTTCCTTTTTATAATTGAAAATTTTGATTCATTTCAACAGCTTTTTATGGGGGAAGTAACACATTTCGTAGCAAGGTTGAATTATTTTTCGTGTGCTGACTTGAGTGAACAAACAACAAGAACGAAATGATAGAAAAAAGTTCACTCAAACAATTGTGTAAAATGCAAATCTAATAAAATTTCAGTAATGAGAAAAATGTGTAAAAAGTAGTAGGTAGATTGAATTCCTACAGTAGCATTTTTCCGTTTCAATGCACAAGAGAATTTTTTTTCGTGATACTGGAATTTTTGTTGGCAGAGTTTATTAAGTGTGAGCGGTTTGGTTGGATTCTTGAGGTTGAATAATTATTTTTGAGTAAATTAAGATACTTTCAAACGAAAATTTGAGCATTTTTGGATCTTACCATAGAAGACACTACCTAAAATAATCTAAAGAGCAGATTTAAGTTCTGCAAATAACTAGCTTTATGGATATCGTCAGTTAAAGAAATGAAAATTTCAAAATGATGCTTAAAAAATTCCATAACGCAGTCTGAACTGCATAGACTTTAGTCTATAGGTCTATATGGCATTAAACTTCATTGTAAAGATTTACTCGGTAGTCTAGTGGTAAGTATCACTAATTTAAGCTGTTATGAATTCCTAGAAAAATGCTTTTTCATCTCAACAACCTCCAGCAGCTTTAATAACTTTGTTTCTCTTACTGAATTAAATTATTTTCCTTGCATTTATTGCATCATTCTACATCTATAAATTTTTTCAAAGAACGAACTTTTTTCCTCAATTTTACTTCTCAAGCATAAAAGTGAATTAAAAACTTTTTTTTTGTCTCGCGTAAAATTAAAGATTTGTTTTGTTTTTTGTTGCTTCAAGACATATATGTAATTGGAATTTTTTTTTTTTGTTTAACAATATCTTATGCAAGTAATAAGATTACATTGTTATTTTCATTATTATTATTATTAAGACCACAAATTTGTTTGTAACGTTTTTTAGGGAGTGTTCACAACTCCATTAAAATTGCATTCATATATGATATTCTGTATTTTTCCCAAGTGTATGTGAAGGTGAAGAAAAGGAAATCAAGTTTTAAAAATTTTTGTTTAATAGTAAGTAGTTTTACTATATAGCGCAATTTTCATTAAGAATGGTCACGACTTTTTTGAGAGGTTTGCTGTTAAAATAATTTAGACAAAATATTAGATTATGAGCTTTTGAAATGTCATGAGAACTTTGGCAATAATATATGGTAATAAAAAAATTAAATCGAACTATCGCGATCACTACCGAAGATTGCGCTAATTTTAATCAATATAAGCTTAATTAATTAAAATTAATAGATAATATAGAATAAAGCCTTAAGCCCCGAAAAATTATTTTATACAAATTTTGATTCTATTTTTTTGTTAATTTTGATTAAAATAGTAAGCATAACTAGAAACTAATGTCTAATAAATCACATCAAATCTGCCAATAAAATAAACTTCAATTTAATGATGAATTTTCTCATCATAATCATCCATTAGACTCGTCCCATCAGATGAAGAGCAAAGTGACAGAGCAGTATCAACAGAATTACTTTTTTCCAATCCATTGCCCTTCAACTGACTACCGTTTGCGGACGATTGATTTATAATGCAATTGTAAACATAATCGTTATCAATATGTTCATCATCATCATCATTAATTAACTGTTGTTGATGACTTTTCTCATTAATTAAGTTACATTGTATAAAGTTAAGCATGGCAGCATTTGAAGTTTTAATGCTATTAGATTTAGTTGTAGCATTTACAGAAGAAATGTTAGTACTTGGCACCAATATTGACTGATTTTGCTCATCATCTGAGTAACTTACACTTGATTCCTCATCATTTCCATCATTTATATCCTCTTCGTCATCGTTGTCTTCTATGTCCGTATTTTTATCATCGTGTAACTCACTTATGTTAACATGCTCAATCACGTCTGGTTGCTGCTTTAATTTCTCACTTACATTTAATTTTGTAAATTTCTCCTGTATAACACGTTGGAATTCTTCAATTCTCTCTGTTGGCTGCTGTTCATCAGCTTGTGAAACTGAACATGATATGTCGGTTGTATGAATGCCGCTGTCTTCACGGTCTGTTGATTCTAAGGATTCATTGTCGTCTGCTGATTTAGCTGGCAATTGAAGATTATTCATATTCATATTATTATTATTTGACTGTTGATGCTGAACATGTTGCTTCATCTCAAATTCAATTCGTGCCTCAGAAATATTCTTAAATGGCGTGTCGAATATTCGTTTTGGTTCATCGACGGGCGATGAAATTTGCTGATGTAAACTAGATAATCGATCTTTCAATTTTGTCTGTACGGGAACTTCCAATTTCTTTGTCGGCGCTGTTGTAACGGTACTCGTTGCCAAATTACTACGCAAACTTGATATTCTATCCTTAATGCTGACTATTTCTGTTCCCAATTTTGCAGCTGCCGCACTTATGTTTCCATTTGGATTATTAGCTTCTTCCTTTGACTCTACTTGCTGCTGCAATTGCTGTTCCTTCTCAAACAATTCTCGCCTTTTTGTGATGTCAACTTTTGGTAAATCCAATTTCACTGCTGTCTTTGCGACACGACTCTTATAATCCTCAATTGCATTATCGTACGTGTAATCACGTTCGCGTGAATCTAATGATCGATTCATTTTAACTGCTGACGTTGTTGTTGCTGTTTGCTGTTTTGCTGTAACTGACATCGTATAGACGTTAGTCGTTAAATCAGTCGTCATTCTTTGCTCAATTTCGATTTTCTCCTCTTTCGCAACTTCCGGATGCACTATTGGATTCTTATGAATGATATCTTTAATGAGTGCTGTCGAATGAAAATTGCCTTTGCTGCTGCTGCCATCATTACTGTTATTATTAAAAGCATCGTCTGTTGCTTTTGTATCATTTGGTTGATTCTTATCTGAATGATTATCACTCTAAATATTTTTTAACATTAAAGAAAAAAGAGAAATAAAAATAATTAGAAAAGAGTTATTCCATCTTTGATAGTAGCGCCTTTTTTGATGTAATAGAGATGATAGTGAGCTGCATGGGTTATTGAGTTTGGAAATTTCAAAATATATATAGTTTTAAGGTGGAGTAGCTTTGAATGTCGATACTTATGAGAAAATCTTCGTACAGACTCTAAATTGGAATTGACTGAACAGTGAGTTTGGTAAGATTGTTTTTTTGGATAAAATCACTTTAATGCCAGTCAACCTAATTCCAATCAGTTAAAAAGACAGACAGACTAAATAAATCATCGTCAACAATACCGTCCCTAGGAAAATAATGCACTTTTTAAAAAGACAAAGAGGAAATACAGTGAAATCGGCTTTAGTCTCACTAATTGGCGCTTTCATTTCGTTTCTACAATAATATTGTGAAAGAAATAACACAAAAAGACACAAGGCAGAAGAAGAAAAAGTTTACTCACATTTGTTTCCATTTTATCACTTGAATCGTTTACATCCGACACGACTGGTGTGAGATCGCTCATATCAATTTTGGAATCGTCTTCCGTATAAATGGCTAATGATGATAATTTACGGCGTGATCCACTATGAATGGATTAAAATAAAAGAGTTGCAAAATATACAGAAATTACCATAAGTCGCGTGCTAAATGGTAATCTTTAATGAATTAATCAGCTTACCGTTCTTCCATTAATTCGGAAAATGTTTTGATAGTACGTCGATTACGATCATGTTCTTCCTCTTCTAATTTCTTGACTTCAACAACACGATCAATAATATGTTCAACTCTTTTTCTTCGTGATGATTTCCAATTGTCTAAGTTCTGCATTTATCCAAATCGTGTTTATGTTAAGGCATTCATGTGGTTCAAAAATTATTTTTTGTGGTTGCCCCGTTTTAATTCCACATTCAATCGATTTAGTTGGTTGAATTCAATTCATAAACATAAATGAATAAAGTATTTAATAATGCCAAATCGAGCAGTAAACAGTAAATAGTCAGCAGTGCAAAAAAAGCATAATCAAATTGAATAAACAGGAAGAAAAAGATAAAGAACCAATTAAGATGTTTTCATAAATAGAAGAGATAAATAGCCTTTCATGCCACAAATTCAATTCAGTTAGTTTATATGTGGAGTTTGCTTGCTGCTACCGATTGGGGGACTTTTATGGAAAATTGATTGGTTTTAAAAAAGTTTTCAAATTAAAAATGGCGGATTAAGAATTTAAAGTGATTCAAATTTTCCTCAATTTATGATATAGCGGGTACATAATCTTTGTAATCGTACTCTTGCCACTTTTTTGAATAACATTCTACAAAATTTTCTCAAAAATAAACATTAGAATTTTAAATTAACCAGAACATACTTTTCGAAGTGACAAAGTTCGCCATTTTGTTAGAGAACCCTTTAAAACTTATATCAAAAAAATATCCACGATATTCCCAATCGATGGCAACCGACAACAAAATGTCAATCGATTCTCCTTACATAATTGATTCAAAAGGTAGCACAAAAGAAGAAATACTTCAATATAATAAAAAAATTGTTCTCATACGTTTTGCCAATCCTCTGGATCTTCCTTTCGTGTAACCTCCTTGACTTTCCTAATCTCTTCAGCTTTCTTCAATTGCTCTTGTGCAACTTGACACAAATTACTCGGTTTTATCTGCACAAATTGCATTGGATTATATGCTGGCTTTGGTGGCTCTTTTCTTGTTACTCTTTCTTTCACTATATAATCTGTATGTTCTGCTGAAATCTGTAGCAATTAAATTGAATTCAAATTGATGATAAAAGAAGACTTTTTCTTATTATTATATCACTTTACCTTTCTACCCCTCGAATTCCCATTCACTTCATTTTTCTCATCACATTCACTGGATCTGTAGCTGTCTAATGTTTCACACGATGAATATTGACTGTTGGTCTCCATGTCCGATGGTGATGGCATTATTCTTCTTACAAATTTCTTTCTTTATCACTTCCTGCCTTCGTTTTTTGTTCAATGTTGAATCTGTTTCTTTTTTTTGTGTGTTATTTTTCTTTCTTGTTACTTAATTCTCCTTTTCACATGAGAATGTGAAGTACATTATAATTCATTTCAAATGAGATATTTGCTTTTGTTGTTAGAACCTTATTTATTATAATAACTATGCTGCCTTAACACAATCGAACCAACCTGAAGGAAGTTGAAATTATATCTGAAATAATACAAAAAGAGAAATATTGAAATGTTGAAAAAAATCAATTAAAATGTCAAATTTTTTCAGTTCATGTTTCATTAATGTCAGCGTAATACCCCACGAAAGTCAAGTTAATCAATCTTACGATTCTTATATTTTTGCGAATTGCGTTTTTCAGCACGCTTGTTTTTGTGGGAAAAATATTTGATTTGATTTGATTGATTTTATTTGGTGTTGGGTCATTCGTTTTTAATGCGTGATGAATTTTGAGAATATTGCAATATTTTTAAAAAACTAGCAAATGTTGAGTTTGCTTGTAGCTTGGATAATTATAACAGCTGCTTGATAATTGAAGCTTGATTCAGTATTGCTATAATTATGCATTCATTCAAGATTAGCTTGTCAGTGGTTCTCAAACTTTTCAGAGCGGGACAAACACCAGACTGTAGTTCTATAAGCTAAGCCTTATCTAATCCATAAGCTAACCTTAAGCAATCAACAATCAAAAGTTCAACAAACCCTAAAATCAGCTTACTAAATGCGCCAAAACCAATGATGCAAAGCAACCAATTATAATATTTATGCTATGACTTAATTTTTCATTCATTTCTTTATTATCGCTTCGCTCATAGAATTCATAACAAATTAAAGCCTAAGATCGATCATTCACTTTACTACAATTTCGTACATTTGCATTCATTTCTCTATTTGTTATTTTATTTCACGCGTGCGCGCTAAAAATTGCAAGATCTAGCTAATTTCTTCGTTTAGTTTTCCACTCTTCATCGGAATTGAATTATTACAGAAACGTGAATAGCAAGAGAAACAATGAAAATTATTTTGCAGACTTCTTTTCCTCCTCGTACAGTTCATTTACTTTCACTTTACTTTTTTTTTTGATTATTGTTTTGTTGTTACATTTATTGTTATAATATTTTTTTAACGTAGCATGAAAATCGCTCACAAACAATGTCTCTTGAATGTTGATATTTTTTTTGTGTGATTCGTAGACGAGCAGACCGAGCGGAGATCTAATAAATATGAAACTAAGTTGCATAATGAATATGTTTTGTTGTGTTTGCCATGGACGTAGCCAGGGTATTCTTGACCCTTCCGATTTCCATCGATATTGACAAACAAAATTCAAACTCACTTGACAAGTCAAACCCTCCCCCATATTAAAATATCAGACTACGCTCCTGGTCTCTATATCAGTAGACAACATGAAAATCTTAAAAATTAAATTACCAGACTCAAGATAATCGCTAATGTACATAATGAAGTCATTACGTGTTCTTTGAATCAATAGCACTTTTTAAAAATAAACCTATGTATTGTCATAATTTAATTATGGGCTGAGGCCGATTATGGTTATTATTTCATTGTTGACAGTGAGTCAAAGCTTTTTTAAGTACAAAATATATGTGTATATCTTAGATATGGGCCGGTACGATTGAATTTATTTGTTTATTTTCTGTGTTATGGTTATTTTAGCTATAAATTATCCGTATAAAACAATATTGGAGGCTAAATATAGAAACTTAGTTTTTTTATGGTTGATAAAGAGCAACTATTTGCCGTTATTTATGAGATACATTGATTGAGGAATCGCATTACAACACTTTGTTAAGATTTTTAAAATTCTAATGGGAATTGTTTTGTGTTTTTTAAAAATAGCCGATGACTATGAATTTCTTGAGTATCATCCAAGCGTATCGCTCTTAGCGATAGACCCAGTAAGAATCGACGACTAAGCAAAAAATTCTCATTCATAATTTTGAGATCTTCATTCATGTATTTTCGTGCACAGAGTAGATTTTTGTCGCTATAATTGTTCATTTTATTATATTAAAAGAACATAATAAAGAACGGAGAATAAAGAACTGTGAATAAAGCACACTCAACACGCTATTTAATTTTTTTTTTTCATACTCATTTAAAAGAATAAATTTTTTACACGTAAATTGTCGCTTAAAAGAGAAATAAAGAATAAAAGATAACTGTACTGAGTGTATGAAAAATGAAGAATAAGAGATGGGAAGCAATTGTTATCATTAGCGTAAGAATACTCTTAATTACATTTAAGAGTGTGACTCATTCAATTAAACATCCTACATTCAACCAATCGGTAAGATTGGCAAGCTGTGAAAATAAACAATTTTTAAGATCTGTTTACTCATGGAAGTGCAACGTACAATGTCATGTTTTTACCGCTTTATTTTTATTGACGTGCTGTTCTCTCATCTTAAAATAAAATTACGCAGTCAATATGCATACTTAAGTGCGGCCTTTTATCTCGTTGCAAAAAAAAATAAATATAAATTGTTTATGTTACAGTTTATTTTCTTTAATGACTACCTTTTGTTATGTTTTTATTAATCTGCCTTGAACGATAATTTTGTGGAAGGTCCATTTAACTCACATTCTGTGTATGATGAAGTTTTTCATCCGTGCAACTCGACATATTTGGAATTTTAATAATAATCAATACAAAATTGCCTTTCTACCAACTTAATTCACATTTAATTCTTTCGTGTTTTTTTTACATAATTTGTATTAACTAAAGGTAGTTAAACCGTAGAAAAACAAAAAAACGTGATACAAAAAAAAAGCTTTCCGTAATGCCATTCACATACAACTTATAAAATTATACTACAGACTCAAACTTAAATGGCATGTTGGCCACAAGAAAAAGAGACTCTAACCACCATGCTTAATAGTGACCAAAAAGTTTATGTACATATACAATTTCTTTAGAAATAACAACCGTAAATGCCAAATTCACGCGTAGTTCAAAAGAAGCTAAAGGTAAGAAAAAATTATATGAATTTTAATGGACATTTTATGATGCATGAGGAAGAGAAAGATGGAAAAATTATTTTCCGAAATAAACATAAAGATTAATATTATTTAAGTAAGTCAATGAAGTTTCTTTCGTTTGAACTTCAATTTTTCATTTCAAAAGATTTCATTTTATCTTTATTCGCATCTTATTTTTCTTCATAATCGACTTCTCGTTCACAAAAAATTTATTTTGTTGCTTGTTATTTATTACATTGAAGTTTATTCTCTATGTTAAACCATTGGTCGCACGACTTGTTCATGCAATGATTGAGAATCAACAACAATTTGTTTAGTATTGCTTAATATGCATAACTAGAGCTGCTGCCATACTTCAGGTATGACAATTAGTGATATGGCATTGGCATCGTACTTTCCTGCAAGCACTTTGCTCCGGGTAAAGATGTAATTAACCTATTGAAGTCAATCTAATGTATATTCATGTGCTTTTCATTTTTTTGGAGAGATACGCACAATCTATAGGCAACATTTCTCGGTATTATGATGGTCACATACAAACAAGCTCTCGATGTAATTTGATTTGCATTTATGACGAGAAGCAATCAAGTTGTGTTGAAAAAATGCTAATTTTATTGTAGATTGGCTCCATCGAAAGAATTAAAATTTTTGGAAAGCATCTTTTAGGTCAATGTGTCCTGGTCATTCAAGTTCAAGTACTTTTAAAGTGATTTAATATTGAAATGAATAAAAATTAGGTTCGTGTGGAATGTTTTTCAATTATACACAAACCAATGTAATTAATGCAATTTTAAAAAATTTTATTCGCTTGTCTTTTGTAAAACCCACAAGTTCTCAAGAAAAACTCAACGTCAAAAAATATTTCATATATGAATACTATGTTAAGGTTATGATGTCGTTTGTCTATATTAGGCAAGCGGTATCAACAAAAAAATAAACAGCAAGAACAGACACAACACATTGAATATCAATATGTGATGTAGAGGTTGAAGTAAATCATAGTAATAATAAAAAAAGATATCTATATCATGTTATGAATATTAATGTGAATAAATCATTATCGCAGGCAGAAATTTTTCTGACATTTATAGCATCATTTTGAGATAAAAATAACGATCATCGTATCGCTTAAGATGTAAAAGAAATTTAGACTAATTAATTATGAAAAAGATGAGATCTCCGTCAACCTGGAACCGATTAAACGATTTTCTTTCTTTACTGATTTGTTTTCCTCCCATTCTCGTTCAATTTTTATATTTATTTATAAACTCGTTGATGAAGGAATGTTTGAATTATAAAGTTTATTCAATGAATCCACTTCAAAGATAATATCAAACTATTCTGTTTTACTTATTCAGTTTCTCATAGAATGTAGATATTTCAGTCACAAGTTTAATCGTATTCAATGGGATAGAGAAATCATAAAAAAAATACTGTAGAACTTTGTTGCAAAGCAGTTTATAATGCTTAAGTAGTGGAAAACAACATCATGAGGAGTAAATAGAATATTTACAATAAATACAGTTGGGTATAAATAAACATACGTCCATAGAATAAACAAGTAAGGTCAATAAAGAAATTATGAAGTTAATTTTTTTGAAAATAAGTGGCTGAAGCGCATTTTTTGTTAAAAAACTCACGAGTGACTTAGAAGATAATGCTAATTTAAGAGATTGAAATATAGTCGTATAATCCTCGGTAGTATAGTGGTGAGTATTTCACTTATAAAAATAATTTATGCAATAGAGCAATGTTCGTGTATCAGTCAATCTTATCAATCAAAATATCTAAAAGCAACAAGTTACCAGTCAGTTTATCAGTCAATCTGTCTCAGAATCATGAACATTTTAATCAATTATTAAAATCGCGGTAAGAAGTAAGATCTGAGAGTAAAGAAAGAGACAGAGCAAGCAAGAGAAAAAGGGGAAAATACCAAAATGTAACGGGAAACCTCAAAGAGTCACTCGAGCGTACCAACAGAGAATGAAAGAATGAATGAGTTTAGTGAGAAAAGAAAGAGTGTAAAGAATCTTTTTTTACTCTTCAGTCGAGAAGAAAGAACCCATGAAATAGAAAATCAGAAGAAAAAAATATAAATAAAGGAATAAAAAGAGAAACCCAGCAAGCAAAAGGGGCTATAAAAGAAGAAGCGAGAACGTAAACATATCAAATGGCACACATTTCCATCAGACTTATTT